TGCCACAATAATTTGGGGTTGCACCCCCGTCGCTCTGTCACCTCCTGTTAAGTACTGACCTTGTTATCATGTCTAGCTTAAGTTTACAGCAGATGACAGGCGTTCCTGGTCCACAGCTCGGTATAACGTCACAAATATCCAGATTTCGTGTAATGTCACAATATTCCAGTGCTGCACCCTCGTAGCTGTGCCACCCCCTACATACGCACCTTATTATCATGTCCCGCTAGCGTTCGTAAAGGATGCTATTCAGGACTGGCCCACAGTTTAGAATAAACTACAATGTCACAATAATCCAGTGATGCACCCCCGTCGCCCTGCCACCGCCTGATAAGTACTCACCTTGTAATCATAATCATGTCTCACAGGCGTTACTGGTCCACAGCTTGATATAACTTCACAAATATCCAGTGTTGGTGTAATATCACAATATTTCAGTGATGCACCCTCGTCGTTCTACCACCCCCTATAACTTCACACATATTCAGTGTTGGTGTAATATAAAAATATTTCAGTGATGCACCCTCGTCGCTCTACCACCCCCTATAACTTCACACATATTCAGTGTTAGTGTAATATAACAATATTTCAGTGATGCACCCTCGTCGCTCTACCACCCCATATAACTTCACACATATTCAGTGTTGGTGTAATATCACAATATTTCACTGATGCACCCTTGTCGCTCTACCACCCCCTATAACTTCACACATATTCACTGTTGGTGTAGTATATCACAATATTTCAGTGATGCACCCTTGTCGCTCTACCACCCCCTATAACTTCACACATATTCACTGTTGGTGTAGTATCACAATATTTCAGTGATGCACCCTTGTCGCTCTTCCACTCCCTATAACTTCACACATATTCAGTGTTGGCGTAATATCACAATATTTCAGTGATGCACCCTTGTCGCTCTACCACCCCCTATAACTTCACACATATTCACTGTTGGTGTAGTATCACAATATTTCAGTGATGCACCCTCGTCGCTCTCTCTCTCCTGCCGTAAGGAACTTCGTCGCGCCTCATCATACAATTCTCTACAAAACTGGTCCAGTCACTTTTTCTGTCACGACACATCATTCGTGAGATGTCGCTGTGTTAATAATTAGAAAATTCATATTTTACATATTGAGTATGATTTAGTTGCTGCTAAAGCTAAGTACCACAATAACTGTTATAATATCTTTCTGAGGCCTACTATGGGATTTAAATCCGCATAGAACAGTAAGGCGTTTTGCAGACGACGGGGCGGGGCGGGCCGGTCAATTTCACCGCGAATAATAGCACAAAGTGAATCCTATACTTCAAACGCACACAGAGGGCAAAAAGACCGCGCCTTGGGTGCCCGGCGGGCAGTGGCGCCGCGGCATGTCCGCGGCTACCCGCCGTGGATCATACAAACCAGTTTATATGCAGTAACGCAGACGGCGGCGCGGGGCGGTCAGCTCAGTCCGCGCCACGCGCTTGTAGAACGAACGTTCTGAACTGACCGCCTCTGCCCGTCGTGTGCTCTGTGTACGCGGCGCGGGCAGCCGCAGACATCGACGGGCAGACGCGGTCTTTATTGCTTCGCGACCAAAATGCCCGCCCCGCCCCGTCGTCTGCTAAACGCCTAAAACAGTACAGTGGTATTGTCTGCCTCCAACATCTGCTTCTGCCTTTCAACTCTTGTATCGTGTGTATTATCAAGTTCAAGTGTGGCTAGGCAATGAGCTGGACCCAGAAGGATGGGGTTGGAAATTAATAGATAATTTGGAGCCAATTCGAACTCTACTCCCGCCTGCTGCAGAAAAACTGCTTAATCCTATTTTTTGTAAATGCAAGACGGATTGTTGTAAGAATTGTGGCTGTCATAAAGTGGGATTATTTTTTTCGTCAGTATGCATCAATTGTCAGGGTCAGACTTGCTCCAATATTGAAAAAATACAACAGATGAAAATATTTATGATATTAATGAAGAGACAATTGTTGCATCCCTTTTCTTAGAACAGTGAATAGAAATTCTGCAAGAAGAAAATGAAGACGATGAAACAATTGTCGGAGAAGAATTAGACAATTATCTAATATAATTAACTATCTAATATCATTTAGAAGAAAACAACCTATAGTACAGTCAATCTGTAGGTTGAGTGGTGAAAAAAAAACCTAAAGGGTAAGTCTTGTTTTTTCTGTTGCCAAATGACGTCAGTAAGCCACCTTGGCGATGGGCATGTTCAACTCGTAGGCGTTTTTTGAAAAACTCAAAAAAACCGTCAAAAAATTTTTGAAACGCATTTTTCTTGTTTTGTATGCATTTTAGAAACTTTTTTTTCGATCATAATTATAGAGGGCGTTGAGTACTACAATTTATGTCATTGTTGCAATCTCGTAAAACAAAAAATGCACATTGTAGATGGCGCTAAAGTCTCAAAAAAAGTGTTTTTTCACTTTTTCACCCTGAAAATATCATTTTAATGGAAAACTTTAAATGGAAAAGTTGTTCCGTACATAATTACCAACAACTTTTGTATAAACAATTTTTTTGTATTACCTACCGTTTTCAAGTTAAAAATTGCGCAGGTATGAAAAATCCAATAGAGCGGTTTTGGGCAGTTCAAGTACACATTTGCAGTGCACATTTTAATGTACGTTTTTACTATTTTTTTTTTCAATCATGAAAAAAAATAAAAATAAAACAATTTTTTTTTTCATTTTTTTTTGTTTTTCAATCATGAGAAAAAATAAAAAATAGTAAAACGTACATTGAAATGTGCACTGCAAATGTGTACTTGAACTGCCCAAAACCGCTCTATTGGATTTTTCATACCTGCGCAATTTATAACTTGAAATCGGTAAGTAATAGAAAAAAATTGTTTATACAAAAGTTGTTGGTAATTATGTACGAAATAACTTTGCGATTTAAAATTTTCCATTAAAATGATATTTTCAGGGTGAAAAAGTGAAAAAACACTTTTTTGAGACTTTAGCGCCACCTACAATGCGCATTTTTTGTTGTACGAGATTGCAACAATGACATAAATTGTAGTACTCAACGCCCTCTACAATTATGGTCGCAAAAAAAGTTTCTAAAATGCATACAAAACAAGAAAAATGCGTTTCAAAAATTTTTTGAAGGTTTTTTTGAGTTTTTCAAAAAACGCCGACGAGTTGAACATGCCCATCGCCAAGGTGGCTTACTGACGTCATTTGGCAACAGAAAAAACAAGACAACCTTTAGGTTTTTTTTCACTGAAACGATATTTTTTTCGACAGATTGACTGTACTACTATTCCACTTTGATCATTAGCAATATAACCATTCTATCAATCAATAGGATACGATCGCATCAAACTTTCTTTATTACAATACATCGTGGAATATACCTACTGGGGAAACCACTTTGAAAATAATCCGTCAAGTACATTACCTCATAGGTGGTGCAGAAATGTGTGCATATTATGTAAAAAAAGATTTTTCTAATTATTAAAACCGCGATATCTCACGAATGGCAAGTCGTGAGAGAAAAAGTGACTAGACCATTTTTGTAGAGAATTGTATGGTCTACATCTTTTGTCTGATCTACTTTCACAAAAAACTTACCGTTTTTGAGAAAAATGGAAAACACCATAATTTTGTACATTTGAGTTGATTTTTTTTGCAGAAGTAGGATCAAAGGGGATGATTGACATTTTATTTATAATGATGTTTTTAACGTCTGCCTATTTTCTGCTCTATGCGAAGTATTCCTAAGTCAAATGTCTATTTTGACTGGACTATAAACAAACTTCAGCTTTATATTTATATTGTACTAGCTGTGCCCTGCGGTTTATTAGGGATATTTTCCCGCAGTTAAACGTAGCCCATGTGTTAATCCAGGGTGTCAGCTAACTCCATAGCAAATTTTATTAAAATCGCTCCAGCCGTTTGGACGTGAAGAAGTAACAAACACACACACACAAACTTTCGCCTTTATAATATTAAGTATGATAAACATTTACAATCAGCTTTTATTTATTTCTAAAAGTTACTTATATCCATTATTAGGTGCTAAAATTCAGTCGATAAAATCTATCGAAAATGTAAAATGTACGACGCAAGACACCACTAAAGTAGGTGTAATGACCTTGTACTGCGTGCGGCCACGTGCAGCACTCTGTGATCCACGCGTCATTCTTGCTCGAATCGCATTACATTACGTGTTTTGAATGTCGTAGAAAGAATAGCGAGCGTACTTTGTCAGCAATGAATATTTTTATGGAAATATATGTGATTTAACGTTTAATTAATATTTCTCGAATTTTTGCTAAAATATCAGTCTAACCAAGAAGTTTTATACTCACCAATGAAAAGAAATTCCTGCTTTGGGTATATTTGATGATAGACTCCTTACTTTGCGAGGAATTACGACACACTAAGGTATATTTTAAGCGGTAATTACAATTCTCCTTCACTGAGCGTTCGCGGCCACCTAAACGACGCGATCGGACGTTACGGTCAAGTTATCAGCATTTGCTCATAACTGTGACGCGCCTGCCCCGCCCACAAGGCCATTCTAACCTCTTTCTGTGTTCTGTGAGTTGCACATATAGCCTCAATGAGAAAGAGGAATAAAAAGAGCTAATGAATCGCAAGAGCGGAGAGGACGTTCGTGACTATCACAGAGATATTGAAACTTGTAGATACAGTTAACATTATTTCACACCGCTTTCAGTGAGATAGTGCCGTGTGCGTCGTGTCGCTGCCGGCCGCTGACATTCTGGTTATACAGATTGCCAGTGACATATACAATTTTAACAAAAACAATCCTTTGTTGGCTCCTAGTGCCGGGAGATGAGGAATGAAACAGCCAGTGTGTCGTTTGATAACTAAGAGCGTAATTTATTATTATTTACATCTTATATACTAATTTTCCTAACTAATATTTATGTGCGCCAGCTTGGCAACTCGGCGTGTTCTAGATACAAAGTACACGCTGACGCTACAATCCTAACAACAGCATATTATCTTATCAGGAGCTGTTGAAGACGTTTTACAAGACGCCAGGAGTGCTGATGATCGCGGGGCTGGTGTCTTGGGACCTGGTTGCCAAGCGGGAGAACAACCCCACCAAACGAACCCATCCCAACCTCTACACCTTCCACAAGTTCACAGACCGACGGGTCAGTATTACAACACTACGAGTATGCTTAATACTTAATGAGTAACTTAAAACTACTAGAGTCAATATTTATATTGTGTATTTTTTTTTATTTGTATCAAATCCATTTCTTATAAAAACGACCTATATACATATTTAACATCAGTAATTTCATTTACATTTCCCAGGAATGTCTATAATGACTCGATTACATTTGGTCGTTAGCCCGTATTCGGATGCACGAAGCAATATGATGCATAAGTTGCACGAACACTGGAATACGGGTTGGAAGACGGTGTCGGGTCACCAAAACAAAAACTACCCGAACCGGCGGGCGTACTCGACTTCATTCATTGACACTTAGTCGTATATCTGAATTCCATTGGCACCTTAGATTAAAGCAAAAAGGGAAGATACGGTACGCTCATACTAGTATCAAATAAAATTTGCTCCGACTCAACTACATAAGCAACTCTCGCACACGCACACGTCTGACAGACGTGTAAACATTCAATCGAGCGAGCGAGACAGAACTGTACGCTTGAACGCAGCGCGAGCGCAACGGTTAGTCTGCATGACTGAGCTGTATTATTGTCCTTTTCTTGATAACAAAATGGCGATTACGTAAATAACATTCACGACAAACCGTGATTTTTGAGAAAAAAATTATTATACAGTTTTTCGAAAGAAAAGTGTTGCCGAGGCACTTGTTATTTGATTTTGAATTGTTTTTGTTACTTATAAAAACATCGAAGGCATTGTTTTATCTTTATAACACAGAATATATGCAATATTGTTATATTGAGCACATGCAACGTTTTTGAATATCCAATTGTGACTGAAGCGAATTGTGGTCATGAACCACAATTTAAGCGGATCAGTTTTGAGCCGCGGATATTTATCTTCCCTTTTTGTTTTAATCTAAAGCGGGCTGCTGACATCCCTGTCGCAGGGGAAATCTAGGCTGTAAGAGTGGGGATGACCTTTAATTGTTAAGTGTGTAGGCAAGCAGGGGCAATTTGCTAAATTGGCCCTAGATTGTCCCTGCCGCCCTGCACGTTGCCTCGTGTGTCGCGCGATCGGGGCAATTTCTCAATCGGTTGGTAACTGTCACACGGAGCGCACGTATTTCGATCAAGATGGCGGCAGATCATAATGAGCATGAAGTTTGGTCTCGAGTGATAGAAGTATATAAAGACGCATGTGGGATAAAAAAACAAACATTATTTATTTACAATACATTTCTTTCTGTTGCTAATTCTTCACCCAGTATTTCCTTTTTTGCGTTTACACCATAGAAAGAGCCAAGGCCCTACCTACCGATGTTTTGATAGTAGTGGGGCCATTATCAACGCGTGTGTTTAGCTCAACTTATGGCCGAAACTGAATAGCAGGCATGTGTGTAGAGACAAGCCTATATTGTCTCGACCGCCGTGCGCCCTAGGTTGGCCCTACGGTTGGTATGTCAGTAGCCCGCTTAAGATTGGCACTCGTATTCGGGCTAACAACCAAATGTAATCGTGCCTTAAGTTAGGTCTGCTTTCTATTGTACTACTTTTGGATTAGTACATTATAAAAGATTGATATGTTTTATCTTGATTTTGATCGACTGTAATGTAAATTGTCTTTATAATAGTATTCTTTCAATGCATTAATTTATTATACAGCCTGTGAGTCGAGAGTTTTATTACAGTGAAATCACTATTGCTTCCCTTATACTAAGTTTAGGTTTAAATCGATTCGATTATATACGAATTCATTTGTGGTTGGCAGTACCGACTGATCGTGAGTGGTTGCAGCGCTGGGCACTCTGTGCTCGTATCGGAGGAAGGAGAAGCTTACACATTTGGTAAGAACATTTCCCTATATGCACTTTTATTATATGTTTTTATTTTAATGTATAAAGTGTATGGCTTAACTTACCCTGGCGCAAAGTCGAAGCCTCGCATCGCGTTATGGTTTTCCCCCTTGGTAATATCTTAACTGGGGGGGAAATAGAGATGAATTTGCTACAAGCGAAAAACATGAAACTTGATGAACAAAAGAATAGTAGTAGTAAGTAACTATGAAACCTGATCATATTGGTATTAAGGAGTTCTCATCCTCTCCATCCAAAGGTTGCCTGGAAGAGAACGCTTTTAGCGATGGCCCATTGTATCACTAGTATGAGATGGGTTTTGTACTTTATGTTTAATATTTTATGTGGAGTACAATAAAGAGTTTTGTATTGTATACTGGGTATACATTAAAAGCGGGGGAAAAGATATGAATTTGCTACAGGTGAAACACGGGGCACTATGATGAATGTCGCGTCGCTTCACCTCTACGTCAGTGAGTTGGGCCTATCTCAATTTCTCTACTCATAACTAATAATATGTATAAACATTGATAATGCAGGTCGCAATACGTGCGGGCAGCTTGGTTTCGGCGACACGACTACCCGCAACGTGCCAGAGCTAGTTCCAGCTCTCAAAGGGCGCAATATTATTCATGCTGCCGTTGGGCGAAACCACACGCTATTCGTTACCGGTCAGTCAATAAATATTTCTTAGGGCCCATTCAGACCGGAACGGCAGCGGCCGGCAGCGACGCGTCGAGCACTATCTCACCAAAAATCTCTCGTCGCGTCGCTGCCGTTCCGGTGAAAATTGGCCCTAATAAACAGCAAATCCTTGTTTAAGCAATATAAATCCGCGTCTACTACTATGTTGTATTAGTTGTAGTTATACAGGAAGGTTTACAGTCATCAATCACTTATTAAATAAACAAAAAACAATTCATCAATAAACAAAAAGCTTTCTCATTGACTCTGCTGGCATACTACATCTCCTTTTCCGTTTAGCTTACCTATACCGCGAAGGTTGTCTAGAAGAGATCGCTTGTAGCGATAAGACCGCATTTTCCCATATTATTGTTAAGTGTATTCTGTGTACCTACGTCCTTTTGTATGTGAGCAATAAAGTGTTTATTATTATTATCTAACAACCCTCCTCATATTAAAATATACCTAATTAAACATATTTTTCAGACACTGGTGCCGTGTTTGCTTGCGGCGATAACAAGAGCGGTCAATGCGGCCTGGGCAATACCACACCGCAAGTGCTCAAGCCAACGCGAATCCGATACAAGTCAGTACACATTCATTGTCATCATCGGTCTACTATGGGTGTATTCCGAAATGTACATCAGTATACTAGCCAGTGGTAATGACGTCACGAATCCAACGCCATATTGTTCTGGTATGCTACCATATTTTTACTGGGAAAACGAATATGACGTATGACCGAGCGTGCGTGAGATGCATTCGAATTTTATTTCTTTTTTATTTAAAGAATAATAATGGCATCCGAACTAAAAGAATTCCTTTTAATTGATGAGGTGAATAAAAAATCTTCTTTATTCGCACTATTTTTAATATTTCGTCTATTTATAGCGTCAGTGCACTGGCCAATATATTTCGGAACAATTCACCAGTATAGCGTAGATCCATGAAGTCATTAGCACTGGCCAGTATACTGGTTTATATTACGGAATACACCCTATGATCACCATTCACCTGGGTCCATCATAAGGGACTCTTCAGTGTCTTTTGAACACCCGCGAATATTAATTATTATGACCTATGTGTTCATAGACGGTCCCAAAATAAATTGTCATTTTTTGGTATCCTCTAATCACCTTTAAATAAATATAGTAACGCAACTATTAAAAACCGTAAAATGCTAAGCAAGTCTTATGTGAATACAACTTCTTAAAAATTCAAAATTACGGCTTTTGCTTAATCTATAAATTTTTTACACTTGGCGGTTATCACCAGAACCTGCATCTGCAGTCGTTAGCAGCCACTAGTCCAGTGTAGATAATGGGTGCTAATAACAAACAACAGATAGACAACAAAGTGATCCTATACGGATTCCGTTTTTTCTTTTTGAGGTATGGAATCCTGAATAATGTTTTTATATATAATCTCCCTATACCATCCATACGGAAGGCCTGTGCCCCAACAGTGGGGACATTAATAGGATGATGATATAAATTTATTATGGAGTGGGTATGTGACACATGTTTAATCTTTCCCCAGTGGTGCTCCCATAGTGAAAGTGGGTTGCGGCGCAGAATTTTCCATGATTCTGGACTGCAACGGTGCCTTGCACTCATTCGGTCTACCAGAGTATGGACAGTTAGGTGAGTGATGAAACATGAGAAAAATTTTCATCCTTCCATCCATTCTACTAATAATAGAAATGCGAAAGTTTGTATTAACGCAAAAACTACTGAATGGATGTCGATGAAATCCGTTCATTTCTCGATACAACTCTGGCAAATTTTGTACCTCAAGTATTATTATGTATTTTATTTGTTGAAATACGCCGAATTCATCAAAAATATAAATGGAGTTTACCATCCTGTCGTACCACATAAAAATGTCGTTCAAACATTCAAATTAATAGCAACACTGATAACATATTATAGTAAACTAGCAAACCAGTGAACCAAATGTTCACCAAAACCTGATTTAAAAAAAAATGTATTTAATTAATTGAGAACTTCGGAGATTTTGTGTGGTTTCGTTTGAAATTCGTGATTTCTCGAAAACCGGAAGTGCTACGGTACTCAAATCCGGTTTGTAGTCTTATCAGACTATTCTTAACTTATAACTTAAATATTCTCTTTATCTATCTCTTACTGTTTGGCCGCTGAAACAGCACCACAGACGGACGGACGGACTTGTCTAATAGATAAGAGATGTGCATATTTTAGTTAATAACAATTAACTACGGAAATCACGTGATCAAGGAAATTATTTAAAACAAATAATATTTTACAATAGATTATTATTTTACAATAGCGTCTAAATTATAACGTTTCTTTATAATATGCAGATTCCCTGTCAGCAGTTTTTCAGAAATTTTTATTGAATTTATTGAGAAATTTTGAGATAATTTGTATCAAGGTAGTAGGTAGATAATTTGTATCAAGGTCAAAATTTTTCATGTGCATGTAATTTATGACCTACATTGAGACAAAGGACATAGGATAAGGAGTTCTCAAAAAACTTAAGTTAACACGGACGAAGTCGCGAGCGGCCGGACTGATTTTTTTCGCATTTCCAGGCCACAACACGGACGGCAAATATTTCGTTACTTCAACAAAGCTCTCGTACCACTTCGAGACTGTGCCCAAGCATGTGGCTTTGTTCTTCGAGAAGTCCAAGGAGGGTCACGTGACGCCCGTCAAAGACGTAGACATTGTGGACTTCTCCTGTGGGAACAATCATACGGCAAGTATTAATTAAAAAACCATAAATATTTCCCACACTCACACCCAATTAGCTTAGCTCCAAAGTAAGCCTTTTCAACCTTTTACTTCTACACGTCGACAGATGCGTCCGCAGATGTCTACAGTTGATATGAAAAGCGTTGTGTTAATTCTGTGTAGGTGGCGATAGACTCTAAGAAGCGGGCGTACAGCTGGGGCTTCGGCGGGTTCGGTCGCCTCGGGCACGCGGAGCAGCGCGACGAGAGCGTGCCGCGCCTCATCAAGTACTTCGACTCTGCGGCGCGCGGCGTGCGCTCCGTGCACTGCGGGGCCACCTACAGCCTGGCCGTCAACGAGCACGGTCAGTGTCCCCCTGTATTATAGCGGGTGGGCGGGGAAGCGCGAGGAGAGCGTGCCGCGCCTCATCAAGTACTTCGACTCTGCGGCGCGCGGCGTGCGCTCCGTGCACTGCGGGGCCACCTACAGCCTGGCCGTCAACGAGCACGGTCAGTGTCCCCCTGTATTATAGCGGGTGGGCGGGGAAGCGCGAGGAGAGCGTGCCGCGCCTCATCAAGTACTTCGACTCTGCGGCGCGCGGCGTGCGCTCCGTGCACTGCGGGGCCACCTACAGCCTGGCCGTCAACGAGTACGGTCAGTGCCCCCCTGTATTATAGAGGGTGGGCGGGGAAGCGCGAGGAGAGCGTGCCGCGCCTCATCAAGTACTTCGATTCTGCGGCGCGCGGCGTGCGCTCCATGCTCTGCGGGGCCACCTACAGCCTGGCTGTCAACGAGTACGGTCAGTGTCCCCCTGAATTATAGAGGGTGGGCGGGGAAGCGCGAGGAGAGCGTGCCGCGCCTCATCAAGTACTTCGACTCTGCGGCGCGCGGCGTGCTCTCTGTGCACTGCGGGGCCACCTACAGCCTGGCCTTCAACGAGCATGGTCAGTGTCCCCCTGTATTATAGAGGGTGGACGGGGAAGCGCGAGGAGAGCGTGCCGCGCCTCATCAATTACTTCGACTCTGCGGCGCGCGGCGTGCGCTCCGTGCACTGCGGGGCCACCTACAGCCTAGCCTTCAACAACCATGGTCAGTGTCCCCCTGTATTATAGAGGGCGGGCGAAGCAGCGCTACGATGTCAACGAGCAAGGTCAGTGTCCCCCTGTATTATAGAGGGTGGGCGGGGAAGCGCGAGGAGAGCGTGCCGCGCCTCATCAAGTACTTCGACTCTGCGGCGCGCGGCGTGCGCTCCGTGCACTGCGGGGCCACCTATAGTACAGTCAATCTGTCGAATAAAATATCGTTTCAGTGAAAAAAAAAACCTAAAGGGTAAGTCTTGTTTTTTCTGTTGCCAAATGACGTCAGTAAGCCACCTTGGCGATGGGCATGTTCAACTCGTCGGCGTTTTTTGAAAAACTCAAAAAAACACTCAAAAATTTTTTGAAACGCATTTTTTGTATGCATTTTAGAAACTTTTTTTTCGACCATAATTGTAGAGGGCGTTGAGTACTACAATTTATGTCATTGTTAAAATCTCGTACAACAAAAAATACGCATTGTAGGTGGCGCTAAAGTCTCAAAAAAGTGATTTTTCTTTTTTTCATCCTGAAAATATCATTTTAATGGAAAACTTTAAATGGAAAAGTTGTTCCGTACATAATTACCAACAGCTTTTGTATAAACATTTTTTTTGTATTACTTACCGTTTTCAAGTTATAAATTGCGCAGGTATGAAAAATCCAATAGAGCGGTTTTTGGGCAGTTCAAGTACACATTTGCAGTGCACATTTCAATGTACGTTTTTACTATTTTTAGTTTTTTGTTCAATCATGAAGAAAAATTTCTTTAACTTTTGTCTAAACAATTTTTTTTGTATAACTTACCGTTTTCAAGTTATAAATTGCGCAGGTATGAAAAATCCAATAGAGCGGTTTTTGGGCAGTTCAAGTACACATTTGCAGTGCACATTTCAATGTACGTTTATACTATTTTTTTTTTCTATCATGAAAAAAATAAAAAATAGTAATACGTATACTATTTTTTTTATTTTTTTTTTTCAATCATGAAAAAAAATAAAAAGTTGTTGGTAATTACGTACGGAACAACTTTTTCATTTAAAGTTTTCCATTAAAATGATATTTTCAGGATGAAAAAGTGAAAAAACACTTTATGAGACTTTAGCGCCACCTACAATGCGCATTTTTTGTTGTACGAAATTTGCAACAATGACATAAATTGTAGTACTCAAAGCCCTCTACAATTATGGTCGAAATAAAATTTCTAAAATGCATACAAAACAAGAAAAATGCGTTTCAAAAAATGTTTGAGGGTTTTTTGAGTGTTTCAAAAAACGCCTACGAGTTGAACATGCCCATCGCCAAGGTGGCTTACTGACGTCATTTGGCAACAGAAACGTCATTTGAAAACAAGACTCTTACCCTTTAGGTTTTTTTTTCACCACTCAACCTACAGATTGACTGTACTACTACAGCCTGGCTGTCAACGAGTACGGTCAGTGTCCCCCTGTATTATAGAGGGTGGGCGGGGAAGCGCGAGGAGAGCGTGCCGCGCCTCATCAAGTACTTCGACTCTGCGGCGTGCGCTCCATGCTCTGCGGGGCCACCTACAGCCTGGCTGTCAACGAGCACGGTCAGTGTCCCCCTGTATTATAGAGGGTGAGCGGGGAAGCGCGTGGAGAGCGTGCCGCGCCTCATCAAGTACTTCGACTCTGCGGCGCGCGGCGTGCGCTCCGTGCACTGCGGGGCCACCTACAGCCTGGCTTTCAACGAGTACGGTCAGTGTCCCCCTGAATTATAGAGGGTGAGCGGGGAAGCGCGACGAGAACGTGCCGCGCCTCATCAAGTACTTCGATACAATTCACCATTTTTTGTAAAGAAAAGGTTGTTATTATTCGAAAGCAAACGTACGCGGTTCTTATTGAAAAACCCTATACAAAGATATTCATACAAAGTCAGCTCATACATTGCCGACACCTCGTTTACCTTTGATTTATACTGTATCGATTCGCCTCCGTATTCTTGTATAAACTTCGTTCTTATTCTAAAACCCTATACAAAGTTTTGAACATAATCGTTCTATACAAAAAATCGTCGCCTACTGCCTGTTGACCGTTTATATGAGAATGGCGTCGAAATTTTTTTTTTATTTAATATTGAAAAAAATATTTCAATCGACAACTTTTGATAAGCGATAATGAGATTACTTGTTTTTATACGTCAATATAATAAGAGTAATGTTTCTATGTTGACTTGATCTGACTTGTTGCAGGCGCCTTATTTCTATTCGGGCAGACGAAGAGGACCGGCGAAGCTAACATGTATCCAAAACCAGTGCAAGATCTCACCGGTCAGTATGATACTTGTAAATGTTCATTGTCCATTCATTTATTCACAGTCTACAATATGGTATGGTTGCAAATGATATGCATTTCTTCTGCTAACTAGTTAAGAGTATGATGAATAATTAAAAAAATATATTGGCGATGTAACTACAAACATAGGAAAAAATGTCGTTGATGTACAATAAACGTGATTAAATCAAATACATTGCATCGTACAAATTTTAACACAACACCGGTTGAGTTAAAATTTGTACAATGATACAGAAACCTTCATTTACTGGTCTGACTCGCACTTGACCTTGTTTTTATAAAGTATGTAAGCTAACTACAATTATTATAATATATAGGTAGTAATTCCATTTCTTGATTTTACATTTTATTTCTTCTGTTTCAAATCATCTACGGCTAATAAATTGATCTCATCATATAAAAACTGTGTAAAGGCGGAAGTATATTTCTCAGACGTCTTGTGCCGTGACGCGTCAGAGAGGTTTCATTCATTTAACTAAACACTGTAAGGCTTTTGTTATAGCCTATAACACAAACCTTACGTGCTTACTTTGGATGTTAAATTTATAGACATCGTACTCACTCTAACCGTACTAAATGGATGAAACCTCTCTGACACGTCACGACACGACAGAGATATACATTTCCGCCTTTACACAGTTTTCATAACTTATAAGATATAAAACTAGCTTATGGCGCGATTACACTTGGTCGTTAGCCCGAATACGAGTGCCGATGGAATTCGGGTACACGATGAAGTGTAAATGAACAGAGTCGAGTACGCCGTATTCGGGTAGTTTATGTTTTGTTTACCGGAAACCGTCTTTAAGCCCGTATTCCATTGTAAGTATTGCTTCGGGTGCCCGAATTCGAGTAATGCCTTTCATGCATCCAAATACGGGCTAACGACCAAATGTAATCGAGCTATTACAGTGCTTAGTTTGAGTGTTTCGGTAATATCACATCAACCTAGCATTTTCCAGGACAAAAAGTACGTACGTCTCAATCCAGGTCAAAAATGCGTACCAAATTTCACCCAAATCTGTTTAGTGCATTTTGCGTTATTGAGTTACAAACTTTCACGTTGATAATATTAGCAGGATTAATAGATAAATTAAATAGAAGTTGTGTGTGTCACGCAGGTTGGAACATCCGCAGCATAGGTACAAGCAACACGTCGATAGTGATCTCAGCCGACGACTCACTCATCGCGTGGGGAGTTTCCCCTACATATGGGGAGCTGGTGAGTACATCATCATCAACCTGTTATTGTCCCTACTGCTAAAGCTGAAATAAGACGGTTCATTTTAGCTTTCATTTTCGATGCTTTATCGATTGAAAACCGAAAATGAAATGTCTACCTTTTACGGGTTTATCTAAACATTTATCAACTTTGTAAAACAATGGTTAGAATTGAACCAGCATCCTTAGCTATCTGCCTGAATTATTGACATATAAAAACAAGTAAGACTTCCAATCACTTAACAAAAGTGCATCAAACAACGCCCGAGCGGTGTTCTACTACAACTTATACATTACAGATAACATTAACACATTAATGTTCAAATTAACACTACGTCGGCGCAATAAGGTCCAATGTCAATAAAGATTGTTTGAAAATTGCGCACAATTGATGAATATGCGTAATTTTGCTTCCAACACCTTTACAGCGCGATTGTGAGTATACTTGTTTTTATACGTCAAAGGCCCGAATGTTGTCATAGCAAAGGGTAAACATTATCTTTAGATATAACTTTCGCTTGTTTGCATTCTTTTAAATGTGTTAGCAGCCTTTAGCTACCTTATTACAAAACGTGCACAAGTATAGAGTATGCTTAGTTTTAACGTAGCACTCTCAGATTACAAAACAAAAGGTAGGTGAAGCGCACGGAATATGCAATGCGTGGCACCATAGCAAATACGAAGTCAAAATCGAATATAAATTCGCGTCAGTACACTACAACTCATCGTGTTGCGAATACTTACCGTGAATATTAAGTTCCAAACATTGTAAAAACTGATCACACAGACAAAAAATTCTTTACCTTTGACTTCGTATTTGCTCCATCTGTCTTTTGTTCTGTAATCTGAGGTTATACTGCTCACCTTCTCGTTAGCAAAGTGTCAGTATCTTTTGTAGATCGGCAGACCTATTACAAAAGCAATAGAAACTAGCGACGGCAACGCATCCGAGGCCTGTATGAATAGATCGTTCTCAACTCTGAGAGCGAAATTGAGTACGATCTTGAGATGCTTGTTTTGTACGAAAATAGCAGAAAAAGCGTCTTTAGAATTGAGAGCGATCTATTTATTACGGGTAATTAATTCAGTTTATATTCAAAAATAGCGTGCAGTCACAATATTTTGTCGTGGTTCAGAACAGGATGGAGGGGTGTAGTATTGACTTTTAAAATTATTTTTAGCTGCACAATGGTGTCGATTCTGCCAGCATTCTCTAAACTTAAAACTAAATTTAATATCAGTCTGTCCTTTTTATTCTATATAGAGAATGACAAGGATACACTGTTGTCAAATTTAAGTTTAGCTTTAGAGAATCATGCCAGAATCGACACCATTGAGTGTCTATTTTTGTCATGCAATTCTGTACCATCGATCGCAAATCAGTTGCACTTATTTGATAAAAATAGGTCTGCTGGTTAAACTTTGTCAACGTTCTGTAATAAGAGGGATGGAGTTCTGTTCGACTGTTGACAAGATTAATTATTTAGCCGTGCCGCTCTAGTATGAGCATCGCAAAACGTTATATAGCTCATTTTATCATGTTCAATTTTCAAGTTACGTTAGTTAGTTATGGAGTTTGATAGTTACTTTAGCAAGCCGAAAGGACGCGGCGAAACGCGTATCGAAGCGGTATTAATCTATTATAGACTGAATTTATATCGCGCATGTTCCATATCGCTATGTCTATTCATGAATTCCTATAATTACATCTCTCCGAGCGGCGAAATTGCAATGGCGATACCGCGGCGTGAAACGAAATTGCCGAGTAATAACGATACTATACAGATAGAGATGCAATTATAGAAAATCACAGTCAGATAGAGCGAGATGCAATACGTTTTATACATGAGTTTATATTAACTCATGGTGCACGACAGATTACCGCAGTTTCGCTACTTCATTTCGCCCCGTCGGTGTGCTAAAGGCATTAGACGCGATAAATAAGTGCGAAAGTGTGTCTGTCTGTTACCTCTTCACACTTAAACCGCTGAACCGATTTAGATGAAATTTGGTAGAGAGATAGTTTGTGTCCCGGTAAAGAACAAAGTATAGTATTTATCCCATTAAAATCATCCTTGAAGGGGTAAAAAGGGGGTCGGTACTTTATATGAGAAACCAATTCCACTAGTAAATAAATAAATAGAAAAACAAGCGAGCATTACAGTAGTCGTGATGAGTCGTGAGTCGTATGATGTGTAACATTTGAAACCTCACCTTATATTAGTAAAAAAAGAAAAAACCTACTACAAAAGGAATAAGCCATTTGAACATTATGTTCTAAAATCAAATGAAATAGAGCGCGCTTCCCAAACTTCCTGTTACACACTTCCGTCCCACTTCACGTAATCACTCCCACAAATTGCACGAAAGCGAGAGGAAAGATGTTACACATCAATAACGCGATATAATGTATATAGCGGTGCTCATACTACGAGGATTGGTAACATTAGAAGGGGGATTGACGGTACGATGTTTGGCGGTACAGGGCACAGGTGAGATCAACAAGTCGACTGCCCGCCCCAAGGAGGTGACCCGAATGGAAGGCGTGAACGTCACCCAGGTCGCTATGGGATATTCCCACACGTTGCTACTGTGCGACGACACCACCGAGCCGGTCAAGCAGAAACTGGCCACTCTACCCACCTTCAATCCATAGAGACGCCCGCACGTACCATTGCTTCTAACAACCAACGTTTACCTCTACGAAAACTATTCACGGACCTCGTATTTAAATAACTAATAATGACCTCTTGATCGAATTTTCAGACCGGTGCGTGGTATTGTATTTTAAGGCGAAATTTGCGTGCTCAATATCTAGAAAGTGGCAGGGAGTTCTGTGAATTATAGCGATCTATTGCACGTGAATATCGCCTCAAAGTGGCAGGCTAGTTCTACTTTGACTTTAAATTTGTAGACTCCTAGAGAGTCTTACCCTACTGCGTAACATCATTTTAATGTTGTAACGCCGGTTACGCTACGATTTAAAATAATTACAGAAATTGTGACAAGTCTATTTGCTTGAGACATAAATGAGTAGCTGGAGATCAGAACAGAAATGTCAAATATTGTCACTCATAATAACTCATTTAAATTAATTGTTGTTTAAGATCAATCTTCATATCTACTGGTACACACATAAAAAACTTTATATCAAGATAACTTCTAAGGTACATAAAAACTGAAGGGAAAATTTAACCTGTATCTCAGATATTGAAATTAATCAATATTTCATTTTAGTTATATTGATAATTATCAATTTAACTAAACTAAAATAAAAATTGAATCTTATACCTGTTAACTCTCTTATAGGATAGAAAACAAACAGTATGATATGGACATCATCCAGAAAATACTGATACTTTTGGTTTGTCAATTATTCGTCCAGTGTAAAAATACTATCACAGCATACTACACACCTACTTAACAGTGAAAATATTATTTAGATTTAAACCTTTGTACTAAGTATCTTTCGTAATTAATTGATTAATTTATCTTAATTAATTTGTTTGTATTGTATATGTAACAGAAATATTTCTCAGGACCATGTACTTATAGCATATATAGCAGCAATCATGCTGCTTTAGGTTTTCGGTGCACATTCTCCAATAGATTAATGGGATACAGTTTTGTTGATATATAGTTCGTATATCAACATTATTCATGTTGCCACCACAGTTTGTGACCAATACTGTAAATGTCTTGCACCTTGATGAAAACTGAAATAATGCTTTAAACAAAGTTTAATAAAGTCATTTTAATTAATTACATTTTGCATAAAATTTTTCATCAATATTTTGAACCACCAGGATTTTATTCACTTTTATTAGAAACTTTTTTACTTATTATTGCGTGTATCCATGTGTATGGAAACTAATAGTTTTTTTTATTAGAATCGACACGATTCTGGCATGATTCTTAAAACCTAAACTTAAATGAGACAACAGTGTATTCTTGTCATTCTCTATATGGAGTGAAAAGGCAAGACTGATGTTAAATTTAGTTTTAAGTTTGGAGAATCATCTCTGAATCGACATCATATCATCGTAGCTCATTAAAATTACCAAGATGCTTATTTATAATATAACAGATTTTAGTGTTTTCTTATAATTATGAATGGTTAAATTATGATTTTATACACTTCCAAGCAAGACTTTCTTACTATCATACTCATTGCGCTCCGCGTAATTTTTATATAAACTTTAATGATTAGAAGATGCACTATACGTTAACGAAACATATATTACGGCCGCACTCAGAGAGGTCAATTCATATTTAAGTTATATAAATCATTGGCAAAAGGTTTGCGCCTTGCCTGTTAATTTACCCTGAGTACGTAAGAATAGATTTTTTTCATAATAATTTAAAGTTTTTGTTGCTATGAATAGTGTTTTTAAAGGTTTCGAAAAATATAGGCTAGTTTTCTTATTCGCCATCAAATAACACTAACTCAAGCCTCAGTAATTTCGGGCCATTGTTACCCTGAGGCAGTATTTTCGCCTCGTGGGTATTTTCTGCCGTCTGCCTAGCAATCCCCGACACCTGTTCGTACTTGAACTTCAAATCGTCGTATAAGTCTTCAAAAGCGAGCAATGATTCGTAACCAGGTTCTCCATTTCGCTTAACAAATCACTTCGCTCGACCAACGTCCGTGCAGTCTGAGCGTACGATGTCGATTGTGATCGTGTTAGATAAAAATGTATCCACGCGGTCCGTGGAGTCTAGCCTAGACATACTACCATTAACACGTTGCATTCGTGCAAAAATAGTATTATTTTTTACTTCCACTCTACACAATGCTCGTAGGGATCGATCCCGATTTACAGTTTTCGATTCTTCGCCAGAAGACATGGTTTAGAGTAAACATAACCGATATAGTTGGAAATAATATGTTGTAATAATATGATAATAATGTTGATATTTAATAATAATGAATGCATTATTTCAATCAGATAAGTGAAAGCGCCAACTAATAATTGAACGAAGTTAAAATGGCGTCCGGCCAAATGAACGCGTAATGAATTTGCAATTTTTTTCCGCGGCCGAATGGACCAATAGCTGAAAAGCGTTGCTGCGCTGGTTCGAAATTTTGACTAGGAAGGGGGGAGCGTCTTAACCTTATCTTATCCTTTATTATTTTCGTATTGGCTCCTTCTTGATTATATGGGTTTGTTAAGTGCTGGCACTGATCACTTAAGTTCATTCTAGCTTTGTAATTTGTCTTTCTGATGACACTTGCACTGCACTTATCTGACTGGAGTAATGTCCAGTTTTATTTGTGATATTTAATTAATATTTTGGACAGTTCACATAAGTAATGTTAAATTGACCGCCATCAAGGAAACACTGGCCAGCTGCACAATGTTCTCTCGGAACGTCACTGCGTTCCGCTTTGCAACTTCACCAATCAGGGGGTCAATCGCCTAATGGGATTGCTATGGCTATCGCGACCGATCGGGGAATGTGCACACAGTGTAGTTCTGAATAGTTATATACATACATAAAAAGACCAAAACTGTAATTATAAAATTAAAACATAATCAATGACATAAAACATGAAAGTGTATTTCACACAACACCTCAAAATTTTGGGACACTGCTTTATAGCTACTCCTGGACGCGTCCATTTACTCTGTGGTTTGAATTCAAGCACATGGACATAAAAAATTTCATACCCACCATTCCTTTGAAAAAGACTGCTATACAAAACTGCTCAACGAAAACTTAAATAATTAATGATCATTAAATATGTTTTTGCCTATTTTAATAAATACTACCGAGCATTACATTGTTGATATAATATTAATTATAATTTTAAACGCTAGTTGCTAATACTGCACTATTAACCAGAATACGCAGAAAAATATGCAAACATTTGTTTTATATTAATATTTAATATATTTAAAAAAAAATGTTCGTGAACAAGCACGAAAGTACTACGGAGTACCTACTAAAGTACGACCAACGAGAAGCGATACAAAATGTAAACAAAATCGATGAAAGGTCATTGACCAATGCAGGTTGGCAATTTTTTTTGCAAAATGACTTTATTTATGAAAATTAATATAGAACGTTTATAATTTTAACATGCCTATTAATTATGTATTTAAATAAAATGTTTAAAACTATAATTCATATCATCAAAACAGTTCAAAAACAAAAAAAAAAAAAATATTACCATGAGTAGTATCGAAATGACACGAAACGAAATGAAAATAATATGTCAATATTTTTTACTGTAAAATGGGCGCCTGAATGTTGTCGAACTCGCCGCCTCGACGATGACGTGGCAAGTCAGAACGAGACCCAATGTATTTACATTGGGTCTAGTTTTGTCGTATTTTGTTGTATTTACAGTCTCGTATAAGGTGAATGAACTTTTGTATCGCTCCTCGTTAGCCGTACTTTACACTATATTCGACCTAAATTTACTTATACCTTATTTCTTCGGAATATTGTCCATAATAGTGGTGTCGACTCGATTCTAGCATGATTCTCTAAACTTAAAACTAAATTTAACATCAGTCTCTCCTTATTAGTTTGTAAAGAGAATGACAAAGATATACTGTGGTAAAATTCAAGTTTAGGTTTAGTGATCATGGCGGAATCGACACCAGTGTGTAATTAATTTGTACCTATGTTTAATTTCCAATGTACAAATTAGGTTTGTATAAAGTTATATATGTAGTACATTTATGCTTTTATATTGTTAAACCTACCAATGACCTGCAGTAAAACGTTACCTCAACATACTATATTTATTAGAACTACGGATTGTGATATGTATACAAAAATATGTATTGGTAATTATTTTGAACTTCATAGCTATTAACTATTTTGTATATCTACAGGTGGTGATGTTTATTATTACTTGTAGCTCACTAATAGATGGACAATTTCTTTGATAAATGTATATTTGTGTGTATAGTCTACGATCATTTCAAAGAGATACGGAGACAAGCAAACATCGACAAGCCATATATATTATGGATTACTTAAAAGTAAAAAATGACTAACTTTTTCGATAGTACAGAAAAGTATAATTGCCATATTAACACGTCTGTGATCAAAAGCCAGATCACTTCAATTTTGGTTTCATCTCAAATAAATAAATATAAATATGAGAAGGTGTGTAGAATTTTTACTCTGAAAGATATTTTGGAATTTACTGGTAAAAAGAACAATATTCTTTGTAAATAAAATTTAACAAAGTGTTAGTTACAACTTTCTAATGAAAAATTTGTATGTAGTATTGTCACTGTATATTGATAAGACGCTGATCTGCAATCAATTGATGCATAACTTTATTGCATTTTTGCAATTGCATTGCAACAAAGAATATTGAGTGGTGAATAGTTGGTAACAATATTTAATAGCTATACAATAATTTTAATCTGAGCATGTTCCAACTGAATTATTATTATAAAAAGAAATGTGATTAATACGTCACCTTAAATTATTGTTCTTGGTACATTATTTATTGTTATAAACAGTATTTCGGCAAATATGCAAAGCCTTGGTACCCTTCAACCAAGTACTTCTACCATTACGATAGTATAGAATTAGAGAAAGGTTGCGATTGCACTTACTTATATTATGAACAGATTTAAATCTTACTCATAAGGTTTACAATATTTGCTAGTACTGCGTGAAGTTAGAATATCACTTGCATAAGGGTTTTATTTCAATGACATAAACTTGTAAAGATTTTTTTTTTGTTTCAATAAAAAAATGATGGTGTACCATAACTAATTCTATTCAATACAATTCACAATAAGGTTTTTATTTTAATGACAAAAACTGGTAAAGGTTTTTTGTGTCAATAAAAAAATGTTAGATAACTGTTTCTATTGTATACAATTCACTGTAAGGGTTTTATTTTAGTGACAAAAACTTAGTAAAGATTGTTTTTGTATCACTAAAAACTGGGGGTCAATTGCCTAACGGTATTGCTGTGGCTATCGCTATAGTTTACGATTTCGTTTTGTTATTTCTGATCTCCGAAGGTTTTCAAATACCTTACGCTCATTTTCATTAATATTGTTATTACCAATGCAAAGGAAAAAAAACGAGCGCGAGGCATTTCAAAACCTTCAGCGGTCAGAAATGAAAAAGTGACATCGTTAGCGATAGCGTTAGCCATAACAATCTCGTTAGGCGATTGGCCCCTGTTTTCAATTCACTTAAGCTATCCACGCAGATAAAGCTATCTAATAAGCCTTTTAATTCTGGTATAATTCTCTAAAGTAAATACTATAATTAACTCTATCCTTACCGTGCTCTATAACAAGAAAAAGTGCGAGAATGCTATCAAATTAGTTTTGAGGTTAGTTAATCGTATCAGAATAAGGCTTTTTATCATCTTGATTTACTTGTATTGATGTAAGTTTATATGTATATTTTGTACACCTTCTCCACCTTTGTACAGACGATGGGCTAGCAGTATTTGGAGGGCAACTGTCCCGGATATTTGATAAACAAACCAGTTTGCCTCATTTTATATGTTTTGAAAGATTAAGTGTCTAGAAGTACGGCGGGCTGTTTCACTACTCGAACGCCTCTGCACTGCAGCAGAACATGGGCGCTCGTCTCCTCCTCCTCCAGGCAGGCTCTGCACAGAAATACCTATATTACAAAGGTATTTTTTGAAGTAGCCGTGACCTGTGAGTATACCCACGATTTGTTTTAAGGCTTGTCTAGGTTGTCTGATTAACTTACGTGATAGCTGCAGGTTTACCTTAGGAACGGCTTCCCTAGCTTACCTGCAGTCCGTGAATTTTGCCCAGTATTCGTCGTGTCGCCGTTGACAGCGCTCCCTTATCCAGGTTCTCAGCTGTCGATAGGATATGGGTACAATTGGCTAGCTAAGCAGTCCGCCGCATCGTTGTCCCTTAAGCCTCTGTGTCCTTTAATACATTGTAGCCTATTGTCGTCACAAATATTAGTCAACTTACAGTTGCATTCATAAATTAAGCCTGATGTCATTATATTGTTGTCCAGTGCCTGTAGGAAAAAAACGCTGTCAGAGAGAAT